GCCAAAGAAAGAACAGAGCCAAGGGGAAAATACACATACAGACTCCCCTATAATCAGCATCACCCCTCATCAGATACCCACCATCCATTCCCATCTCTGACACCCATGAGTTGATGAACAATCTCACAGGGACCTCCCAGTCCAGCTTCATCTCTGTCACCTCTCCCTGAAGTTAGGACAGGATAGAGCAGGAGCACCTAGGGTTATCCCATCTTTTCTACTCCCTCCCAGACCCGATGAAAATGTCCTACTAATCGTCCTTCACCTGCTCCTCTCTGACTGAGGGGATGAAGAGGTGTGGGTATGCTGTCTCTGGGCAGAAGGAATCACAGGCAGCGATCTCTGAGTATGAGACTGACCTGTTAACACAGCTATCTTCCCCAACCCACTCCATCCCAACCCTCCATCATGTCCCCATTTTGTCTTATGCCCCCATCTGCACCCAAGCCATTCCCTAATGCTTCCTTCTCCTTCTCTAATTCCATTTCCTTTATGTGTTCCATGCCTGTCCTAATCTTATTCCAGTTCCATCCAAGTAGTCCTTCTCCAGAGCCAGCCCCTAGACTTAGCTCTAGTTTGGGTCCTGAAAGCAGCAGTTCCCAAGCAAGTGTTCACCCCTAACTCAGCTCCTGCTTTTTCAGCTCCAAGCTCTGAGCATCAAGGAAGAGCAAAGGTGAATGGGAATGACTGCAGCCCCTACTCCACTGATCTCAACTCCCAAGCTACCCAGGGAACAAGGACAAAGACGGAGAGATGCAGAAACACATAAAGATGAAAAACGAGAGTTGAGTCTTCTTAAAGAAGAGATACAGAGACACACCAAGAGAACTGAGACAGAGTGGGAGTAATAGTCCCTCCACCCCCAAAACGCCCCTTTACCTACACAGGACCCGCCGGAAGGGGTAGTGCTGGCCAGCCAGGCAGGGGCCCCCTGAGGGGCAGCGCTGACCTGGTCCCTGGCTCCTCTGCCAGAACCGTGCTCATCCGTCTGTGCCCAGTAAAGTTTGAATCCAGCTCCTAGGGAGCTTGGGGATGGTGGGGGAGCGCCCTGTGGGGACCAAGACAGGCAAGAGTGGCACACATATCGGAGGAAAGGGGAGGCGGACAAAAGTAAGGGGAAAGGAGAGGAGCTCAGCCCAATCTAGCAACCACACACCAGCTCACACACCCACTCTTGTACACACACGCACTCATACACACAGGCATACACACACACCTGGGCTGCCCGCCCTATGTATATATATGGTGATGAACAGAACACCCCTAGCCTCCTATTGGCCAGCCCAGGACCCAGATTATCAATATTAACTAGCTAGACTAGGCTGTCATTGGTGGAGAGTCCACTGAGCCCCCCGGGAACTGAAGGAGGGGGCTGGCCCTGAGGGGGGTGGGGCGGGAGTGGGAAGCGGGGGACATCTGTTCTCCATGCATATTTCATAAGGAAGAAATGGAGAGATAGGAAAAGGGTGAAATGGGGGGACGTCGGAGGATGCAGTGAGGGCTAAGGGAAGAGCCAGGGGCAGGATCGCAGATGAACCCTCACAGTTTCCTACACCAGAGGTGAGAGAAGACAGAGACACCCCAGGAACTATAGCGGGTGGGGACTCAATCAGGGTCCTACTCTGAGTTCAGGATATTGACTTGGCAACATTGTCTATGGACATTCTTCTGACTTTGGGCATTCTTTGGGCACTGCTCCCACTCTCTCCCTCTGAATGACGGAGGTGCCCCAATGGTACAGTTGGGGGAACAGATCCTTGAGCATGGTGGACTTGATCCATAATAAACCCTGGAAGGGGACCCAGGAGTTCTGCTCTCTATTCTTTTCTCTTTCCTTCCCCAGAACCTTGACTCCTTGCCATTCCTTGACCAGCATTTAGCCCACTCTTCTCCTTCTGTCTGTTAGTGGTTATTGCTTCCAGTATATAGCAACTCCATCTCACGATCCCTTACCTCCACCAGCAAGGAAAGGGCAGGAGCGAAAGCCCGCTCACCCAGCCCAGAGCCTAGGCACTTTATCTAAGCTGGGAAGTCCAACCTATTCCATTGCGGGTAGGGGGCCACTGTAAGAGAAAGGCATGAGGACTGGAGGGACAAAGGCTGGGGGACACACTTTGGAGGAGAGGCAGGTTCTGGGAGGGGGGGACTCTGAGCTAAAGGAACAGGGGCAACACCGGGGGAAATGGGCAGAGTTGAGGCGGGGGAGAGTGGCTAATGTTTTGGTACATTCCAGTAATATGAAAACAAGATGCAAAATTACATGCAAATACATATCCATTATGTCCAAGTGAGTGAGAAGCTTCAGTCCCATGCTTAGTCCTGGGATAGATGGTCATGGGGTATCCCAGCAGAGCTTAGAATAGAGGAAACTCCAGGATTGGAGCTGAGGGTCTGGTTTTTCCTCACCAGCTCAGCTTTCAACTGTCTTTGTCAATAAACATCTCCTGAACATTCATAGCAAACCAAGGGTCCTGATGACATTAAAGACCTTGACCCCACCCTCCTTACTTCTTTCTCACTCCTTACCCTTTAGCCAACCATAATTATATGCATACATTGTGGCTGGTCCTTGGACAGTGGCCCCATAATAACATTCAACAGGTTGCTGGAGGTTGGGGAGAGGGGGAATTGGGGAGCAGGCAGGGGTGTATGTAGAGCAGTACAGCCCAGACCAGTCTAGATTCTTAGGAAGCCTAGTGTGTTAGGATGGGAATTTGGGTGGTATCTGGTTGGGAGAGGGAGACAGGCTCTGAAAAAACTGGGCCTCAATTTCCCCACTGGATTACTTGGGGAAGGTGTAAAGGGACACAATGAAGGGGGCCAATATCCAGCCTTTGATACCCTTCTTCCTAAACTAAACTCAAGGGCTGGCTTCCCACTCCCTAATCAGCCTTCCTGGATTCTCTCCAGGTTGAGGAGAGAGGTAGACTATATATGAGTTCAGTTTACTAGAGGTGTTCCCTAGTCTTTCTTTCACAGACTTCCTCCCTCTCCACCCCCCTGTTGGGCAGTGCCAGCTCCCACCTGGGCAGGCCCAGACAGGTGCCCAGGCCCCAGCAGATGGGCTGAGCTGGAGGGGAGAAGAGGCTCAGAGAGGGGGAAGAAGAAGGAGGGGGGCAGGGGATCAGGTGGCAGCTCAGTTCTTGCATCATCATTGCCATGGCGCTGATTAAAAACCAATCTCCACCTAATGAGCCCCCAGCAATAACAGCACTCCCCCCCACCCCAACATGCTCCCAAGATACAAGGAGACACAGAGACTTGAGAGACATACAGAGAAAGTCTCAGGGAGACAGAAGCCTGGAGTGAGATACAGAAAAGTGGAAAGATGGGGAGACAGATGCAGGAGAAACAAGGGAAATAGGGAGACAGTGACATGGAGGAGTCACCAAGAAATGGGACAAAGAGAGAGGGGAGACATGCATCTGAGCAAGGCACAGAAAAGGTAGTTAGGCACTGAGACACATAGAGATGGGGAGATTAAGAGTTATGACTAGACGTGGTTCTGGAGGAGAGGAGACATTTGGGGAGATAGAATCACAAAAACATCTAAGGAAAGTCATAATGACTATCAACAAAATGGAGAAATGAAGAGCTATAAGAGAGTGAGACACCAAGGGAAATAGAGACACAGAGGAGATTTTATACTATAAGAAACAGAAAGAAAGAGTTCATTAGAAGTTCAATAGAAGTGCTGGAAAAGGACCTTAGAGGTCATTTATTCCAACTCCCTCTTTTGTTTTTTTTAAATGGAGAAACCTTGGTTTAGAGAGGCCAGGTGACCTGTCCCACACCACACAGGTAATAAGTATCAGAGCTAGAATTCAAACCCAGACTCTCTGATTCCATATCTAGTGTTCTCTAGAAGGTCAGCAGGACTAAACCCAAGTCTCTTCGTGACCTTGGGAATATTACTTCTCCTCTGGACCTCAGTTTCTCCATCAGTAAAGTCTAATGATCTTATGAAGGGAATGGGGTATGGTGGAAGGAGCATTGGATAGAGTTAGAAGTTAAATATTGGCTCTACTACTCTACCTTAGGGACTGACCCTTGAACAAGCCTCTTCTCTAGGCCTTAGTTTATTCATCTTTAAAATGAAGGACCTAGATTAAATGACCTCCAAAGCTCCTTTCAACTCTATCATTCTATGAATCCAGGTCAAATTGTGCCTAAACAGGCCTGAAGGAAGAAGGCAGTTGAGGGCATACATGTGAGACCTGGGTCTCTTGCCTTTCAGCTGTTTCCTTGACTCTGGACAAGGATCCTGAGGCCCCACCCAACACTGGGTGATTCAATTCCCATCACTCTCATTTGTAATACACTGCTATTGCCTCACACACACCCCCTCCCCACCCACTAACATCTCAGGGACACCAGGCAGTAACTACAATCACCCTGGACAGCTCAGACTCTGGAGCTGAGTCAGAATTCTGGGTTCCTAACCCTATCTGGCAGGCTTGGGGAGGGGGAAGGGAGGGAGGGAGAGAGAGTTCAGGGCCCTGGCTAAATCTGAGGTCAACATTCAATCTCTGCCACCCTCAACCCCCATTCCTTATAGGAGAGAACTCTTAGCTAGTTGGTAGGACAGTTCCAGGAGCTATAGGGTGGGCATAGAGGTGTAAGCTGTAGGAGCACCGGCTGGGATCCAGATGGGGAAATTATTATTGGTATTATAGATTATTATCATTGTTATTTCTCTTTTGCATTTGTAGAGATCTTTCACTTTTCAATGCACTTTCACACTCATTACTTCATTTTAACCTCACAACAACCCTGAAAGGAGGAATAAAGAGAGAGAAAAGTTATTGGGTGCAGAGGTTGGGAGGGAGGGCAGGGCAGGGAGGGTAGGGTGGAGTAGGAGCCCAGGCCTCTGGGTTGGGTGGGGGAGGGGGTGGCCTGAAGGAGCTGGGAAGCATTGGGTTTGGCAGGAGAGGGTGTGACATATGTGGGGAGCCCTGGGGACCCAGCCGGGCCTGCGGCTGGCAGGGAGAGCAGACGGAGTTAACCCTCGATATTCTGCACTGCCTGACCCTGCCCAGGAGCTGTCGTTAGACTGTTATTTTATAAGACAGGGAAGGAGGGAGGCGAAGGGGCCTGGGCATTGGGATAGAAGGCGAGAGGACCCTAGGGCAGTTGTGTCTCTGGAAGGTGACAGCAGGTCTGGGCTCTCTTTCCATCTCTGTCTCTGTCTCTGTTCATCTGTTTCTCTGTTCTGGCCCATCTTCCTGTCTTTCTCTCTCCCTGTTTCTCTTCATCCTCTCTCTCTCTCTTTCTGCATGTCTCTCAATCTCCGTGTCTCTGAGAGGTGACAGCGGGTCTCCACTCACACTAACCACACAATCTGTCACTCCCTCTGCCGCCAGCCGGGCCTGGAGCACCCCCACCCCACCCCTTTTCATTGCTCAGCCCCCAAGCCCTCCCTAACCCATGGCCCTGCCTCCCCACCACCACCACCTTGCTGCCTTTGTCTCTCCAGGCAACCCTCCCCACTCACCTCCCTCCCCCTAACTCGGAGCCCAGCTCCAATCTCATTATGGACTCCAACCTCCTCCCCCCCCAACTCCTACCCCACCCCCATCTTCTTCCCTCCCCCATCCATCTGTCTTCCCCACAGTCCCTGTCTTTGTGTCCATCCATCTGTCACCAGCAGCTCTGTGCCTGCTCCCCTCATGGCCACGCCTGGCCCTCTCCCCTCCAGGCCCTTCTATCCTAGCACTTTCAGACTCTCTTCTCCTGTCTCTACCCTGCTCTTCTTCAGTTTCTCATTTTCATTTTCTCCTTTCTCCTTCAATTTGACTCCTCTCAGTTCCTCCCTCAGTTTCCCTCATCTATTTCTCCTCTCTCTTCCTCAGTTGCTCCCAACAGTTTCTTCTTGCCAACAAGCCTCATAATTACAACCACTTGCTGCATCCCAAACCCAAGATATATTCTGGGGACAATGGGTTTCATGGGACAAAGCAGAACGAAGTA